GGAACGTGTTAAACCAGTTCTATCACATATGTGATAATGACTGACACCAATATTGTCCTTTAATAGCAGGCCAGTGTGTTTCAAAGGTTGGTCAAAGAAATCGATATGAAACGAATATACGCAAAATCGATCGCTAGAAAAATATGAAATTTTGAATAGTATATTATTATTATACATATGTTATGCCATTCGGACGACAAAGTTAAACTGATTTAAAATCGTTGACTATATTTAAGCTGATTTAATTATTATTAAGCTGCTTTTAGTTATGAATCTGACCGAGGGACATAGGCTTGTTTGGCTTATATAATATGCTAATCTCGGGTTCAAAATCTCTGGAGATCTAAAGCTAGCTTATCTGAACTCCAAACTGCAGGCATATATGTACGAGGTGAATAGTCTGCATGACATATAGAAGGGTGTGATAGATGACGAATTGTTCAATTATTCCGAGTTTCATCATCTCTTTACTTCAAGCCAAACTTAACCTATTAAACACTCTTAGATTTTGGGGAATGTTTGACAGGCCATGGTTTCTATTTTACTCATTCATTCTTTATTTCTTCAACTGTTCAACCATCCCTCATCTTCATTCTTTGCCGACTGGCCAAAAGGGGGGAATTCCCTTGCTTCTTGTTACTCAGCATGATGTCCAGATGTTGTTAATAAAAGTACTAGATGTTCTATTGAAGTTAGTTTGTTTTGGTTGTCAGTGGGTGATAGGTGTATATATTTACTCCTCCTATTTCTTAAAATGTGAGTAAATTTAGATAGACCTTGAACAGATTTCCACATCATAATTATTATCACCTGTCCATCAATTTCGTTTGATCCTCCAGAGGAAAAATGATATTTCGGTACTATATATTTCAAATTTTATGCCTCAGTCTCACATCAAATATTTTGAATTTTATTGTCGTTTATAGTCGATTTCATGGTGGGTATAAAATCCAAAACTGAACAGTATTAATGACGGTTTCGGCAGCCCATGTAGTAGTGTCTATATTCCGTATACCCGTTTAAAGATGCGTTATGTAAGATTTTCATATAGAGCTGACAGTTCTCCCTATAACAGTTAAAATAGATAACAAAAATAGAATACATTCAAAATTTCAGGTTAAATTACATCATTATGGGCGCAGTTGTGAATGTTTGAAGAATAACGTAGTCGCGATTGTTTTTGCTACCGTTGTCACAATAATAAACAAAGTCTCGATTATCCATTTTTAAATTAAATAATTAAATGGAGATCGTGTTTCTATCGGTTCGAAATCGCAACTAACCGATGATCTAGAGGGTTGATCATGGGTTTGCCATGTGAAAAAATGTCTTAATTAATTATTTTAAAAATAAGAAAGTTCAAAATAAAGATCTGCAATAGGCAGATTTAGCTCTTACATAATGCGGGGATCACGTGGCTAAGTGGGTAAGACGCTGGCTCGCTAGCCTGGAGGTTGGGTGTTCGATCCCTGCATTGGCGTGATTTTCCCTTGTCACTGATTTAGGTCGGGGGCCTGACAAGGACAGCTGTCTAGTCGTTCGGATCGGACAAAAAACCGGGATCCCGTGTACATATTGGCGTGCACGTAAAAGATTCCTTGGCAGTTGGAATTCTATATAAGAGTAGGCCGTAGTGCCACTGCCCGGGCAAAATTTCCCTCATAGCACACTGTATGGCGTATGCCCGTCTTCATTAGCCCAGTTTAGGAGCAGAACAGTAGGACGTTAAACCCCATTTCATTTCATTTCTTACATAATGCATCTTTAAGCGGGGTGATTATGTATATTTGGTTAGAAATCTTTATCCATTGTATACTTTTACAGGATTAGTTATTTACTTCTACGTTGGTTATATATTTTTATTCAAACCTTGTTTTTTTAAGTTGTCTATCAGATCTGTTTTTGCGATTAGCCTTATTGACAAAATCAGCAGAATGGACTAATTGGCTTGACTAATTTAGACGCAGCAGGAACTGTGTGACAAATAATATATGAAGTATTAGGTCTAATGTTTTTAGAAATATTTTTCAAATAGTTTCTAACAAAATGAAATGCACTGATATTTACATCAAAAATAATTTGTAGTGTTAGTAATCGTTAATTTGTACGTTAATTGATTCAATCTAGACTATACCAAGCTATTTTTAAAATGTAAAATTTCCCGTAACAAGAAATATTAATTTAACCCGGCTTAATTTTAAAAGTTATTTTTTGTTTTCTCAGATGACAATCTATATTCGTTGAAAACTTTACGCCCCTAGATATAGCCAATGTTGAGATTAAACTGAATTTGTACAGTGTGTCGGCACAGTGATGTCATTAATTCGTTTGTGCGTTGGGATCTTTAGTAGTGGGAGGAAATCATTGGACAGTCGACCCTACTCCTCGTCACGCCCAAGCTTGGGATCGGACCACACCACTTGACAATTCGTTTGATCTAAAGACCACACTTTAGACCACTCGACCACCCTCTACACAGAAAGCTAAAGATGAAAGTAAATTAAGATTAGTAAACAAACCGAATTCCACTTGATCGTTCGAAAGCACTTTTTAACCTTGCATTGCTTTTCCCGTAACTAATCAAAATACCATATCAGATGACCCCAATTCAATACTCCATTTTCACCGCAATCAAAATGAGTTAGCTCCTTCAAAGATTCCATACAAAAATCGATTCTGAAGAATCTTGAATATAATCCGGTTCATTTTTTTGTAATTACGAATGTCAAAGATCTGGATATACATGCGGCTAAAAAGGAATGTCAATTTAATCCGGTAAAATTTTACTATTACAATATCAAATATTCAGTACAGAGATTCAGTTATCCTGGAATATTAATTTAATCTGGCTCAATTGTTTTTTTAGTTCGTGTAATCTCTGTAAAGATCACTGATTTGCAACGATTTATTTATATGATAATTTGTAATCTACTATTTCGTCTGCTATTTATGAAGAAAAGAATATTCGATGTTGAAACCCGGATGATATTAAAGGTTTAATGAAGTAGATGAAAATTTTGCTTTTTGAGCTACATGTATATTATATTCCACGAACTACAAATGTTTTCGATTTAAGTATCTTTCTGTTTCGAATGTATATCTTTCTGTTTCAATTGTATATCTTTCTGTTTCAAATGTATATCTTTCTGTTTCAATTGTATATCTTTCTGTTTCAAATGCATATCTTTCTGTTTCAATTGTATATCTTTCTGTTTCAAATGTATATATTTCTGTTTCAAATGTATGTTTTTCTGTGAGAATGTTTATTTATGCACGGGTTGCTATCGTTTGTTTTGTCTGCCTTGTGTTACGCAATTTTCCTGCATTTTCTATTAAACAGATATCGTTAATGAAAAAAATAAAACACCAAAAAATTGAACTTTTTAAAGCAAAGAATTTGCCTGTTCGATTACAAACAACATATTATATTCGATTTAGATAGACCAACATGTTGTACGAAGATGGATGTATTTGAGAATGGTCCATCTTGAAAGTCATCTCTCCCGATGCCTGTATTATTCAAATATTGAAATTGTAAGAGTTTGTTGACACTTCTATTATGGGATGTTTTTCTTCTTTTCTATCGTAATTATAATCTAACTTCCATTCCGGCATGTCTATTAGTTTAATTGATTTAAACTTCCCCAATAATCCACGTCTATTCATATCGTACTTCCATCGAAGGGTACAACTTAGAATTTCCAAATCTCCCCAACTACCCTTAATACCATAGCTTTAGAATGTTAAAGAGACATTTTAGGTATGAAGTTACTGAATAGTACACTTAATCTCAAAGCCCCATAGAGTCGAAACTTTTGAATAAAAGGTCGACTTTAAAGTAGCTAAGTCCGTAACTGAATATCATCCAAAATCTTCGACATAGAAAACACGAATTTTTAAGCAATTTAAATCAGCATTGGTGTTGTGATCTTACCTGGAAAAGATGGGCTTCTGATATCCAATATTTAAAACAAAATAAACATTTTACCATTGGTACACGAATCGTGTACCATAATGCGTTTCAGCGCCATTTGTAACAAGGTGCTCAAAGAATGAGGCTAGACATATCCCACAAGTCATGTCAAACGGTGATATCATATTCTTATTTGGAGAGCATGCACAATAAATAATATCGGTGTTGACTGGAATAACCAGACGCTAGAAACTGACTTGCGGTTGAGACTTCTGGCGTATTTCGCCAAACATAACTGATGACAATTCACAGTAAAACGGACACGATTGAATGTAAAACAGTTTATATAAATTCATATTACATTATTATATGTGTTGCGACTCATTTGTGCCAATTTCTAGGTCCAAAATATTAGCGATTTAGCTCCTTTAAGACAAATAAAACTAAATCAACACGTAGATAGTCTCTTCGGTCCAGCGGGTTTTTCCGGCGTGGTTTTCTTTTGTCAGTGGTGCAGGACGGAGGTCCTGACATGGACAGCTATCTATAGTTGTTCGGATGGGACGAAAACCCGAGGTCCCGTGTATACACTGGCGTACACATAAAAGATCTCTTGTCAGTTGCAATTGAATATAAGAGTAGGCTTTAGCGCCGCTGTCCGGGAAAAAATTCCCTCATAGCACACAGTATGGCATATGCCCTTCGTGATTTTATTTCAGGTCCAGTAAATATGTGACTTGGTGAATTGTTTTACTTTAATTAGACACATAAATATGGCGATGTGAAATCAATAATAAGAAAACCACGGTAATCTTTAAAGGGTCATAATTTACCTCACGATTCATCGATTGTAATTTGTTAGAAAATATACTTTTTGGTTAGAGTATAACAGAGTTTGGTAAGAGTTTGTGTCGGGTCTTTAACTCGTATAACACCATACGTGCAAAACGTAAAACCCACAAATCAGACTATAGCTATACCGATCGATACAAGACACAAAAATCACACTGATAGATACAAGACACATCAATCACACTGATCGATACAAGACACAACAATCACACTCATCAATACTAGACACAACAACCACAATGATACTAAACTTTATTCTCATAAACTATAGTACACAGTTACAGAGAAAACATAAAAAAAATATAATATCGTATATAATCACAAGCATGCGCGAAAAATATAACAAAATTAACTAAATTATCTAGGAGACCTGACTTTCACATTTATAAGTTTTATAAATTTACATAGTTTTTAAAAAGTCACAATATTTGAATTATTAAACAACTGGTTAAACTTATAAATATTAGGATTTGAACAGCAGAAAGAGGTAGATTTGTCTTTCTTTCAGAACTAAATACATTACATACCATTACGTAATGACACGTCATGCCACCTTCCCAACTCAATGGGTAGTCGGTGGCTTCCCCATCTAAACTTACAAAGGATATAAGTTTAGACTAGAAATAGGCATCAGCTGTCTCCGCACATTCTCAGTGCCTACGGTACCCGCGATTATCAGTCCTTTTATCAGCCGTCTCCTGAGTGACGTCAGTGATTAACGGTAAATGTTAGCTTGGTCAGACATTTAATGATTTATTTATTAAATGGACGACTGTTTAATTCCAAGCTATATCCAAGTCCCCCGAAGGTCTACGGAGTTGATTTTGGGCTTGTTATGTAAATAATAATTAATAAATTCTATAACATTTGAAGCCTATAGAAAGACTTGCAATAGGCATAATATTTAGCTCTTAACTAATGTGTCTTTAGTAAGTCTAAACCAATTTTATCATTCGACATTTTGCGTAGGTAATAATTGGATACCTTCCTAGTTCTGCATATATATAATAAACCAGTGATTGTTATCCATATAACTGTTGTGAGGGTCCGTCGTTACACGTTTCTTTCACGGCGTTTATGACGATACCGTTCGTACGCCAGACACTGTGTATAGTTAGCGGGTCACTTCAGGGGTCAAAGGTCAGTATGATAATACTGAATTGCAGCCTTAAAATAACTTGAACAAAACAACAGAGTTCTGTGTTGATTGAACGAATTAACGGTTTAATAATAAATCAGATTAATGTTAATGATATAAGTTAAAAAAGACAAAAGTTACATTCACACTTCACATATTCTGTTTTGACAGTTCTCAGTTCATGATATCACTTCACAGCTGACTCGGCAATTGAGTCGAATTTCACATAGAGTTCACAAGAATAAACAACGTTCACTGTTCACAATAGGTAGATAAAAAGTTCACTAACACATTACACTAAATTACATACAGTGTCTCGGTAAAAAACCGATATCACGACCGCCGTTTGAGAAGACGGCCTCACACGTATTGACATTCACATTCACGCCATTTTCACTGTGTTTCTAAGCACGCTTTTTCTATACCATAATAATTTAAAGTAGACACAATCATACCAGTTGCATAAATACTTCAATACTACTAAAGAAGACTCTTTTATCCAGAAAAACTATGGTGGACCGTTTTGAACATTACACACCGGCCCCTATCGAAATGTAAATGAGATAATAACGCAATATGTTCAAAAATCCAAACTAAATATACAATATTCTTAACTTCAGAATTCAATAGACTGTTACACAAATAATCAGTGTCTTATAATACTAGAATAGCTTTCATACCTCATCATATCCATACAGAATACAAACATTCACACCTTATTACAATGATGCAATAGAAAAATTAAGATAAATTCACATTTGACAATTGAAACCTTATTTCACAGATTCACATTTAAGCATACATGTACTTATAGTATTTAACTATTTTAGTTCTATAGTTACATAGTTCACAAAATTTACTTATGGTAACACAAACAATAAATCTAATATCATTTCAATACACATAAGCAATGTAAATATCAAAACTAAATAAATTCTGAAAAATTTAACTGTCATTTTCTAAGATTAAACATAATTTAGCTATAGGACGAGTCAAAATACTTGTTTTTGTCCTTAATTTTACACTACGTACAAGACCATGCTTGTCTGGATACACTTCTTCAACGATACCCATGGGCCACGACCCACGGGGCGCACTTGAATCGACTATAAGAGCAATGTCACCAACTTTTATATTTCTAGAAGGATTGAGCCACTTTTCACGACGTTGTAATGAATGCAAATATTCATCAGTCCAACGTTTCCAAAAGAGATCAGTCAAATACTGGATTTGACGCCACCGTCTCTTTGAATATACATCACGTTCATTGAATAATCCAGGGGGAAATAACACATTTTGGTGACACATAAGAAGTGAATTAGGAGTTATCACTTCCAAGTCATTGGAATCACTTGATACACAAGTCAGAGGTCTACTGTTTATTACAGCCTCTACTTCACAAAGGAAAGTGATTAGTTCTTCATCACTTTGTGCTGTTCGCAAAAATTGTTCACACAGAATCCCATATAGGATTTTTCTTATAGTCCTTATCTGCCTCTCCCACAATCCGCCAAAATGGGATGCTGTAGGGGGGTTGAAATGCCACTTAAATCCACCTTGAGTTGAAAAGTTCTCAATCTGTGTTTGATTCAGATCATATAATGATTGTTTCAGTTCTTTCTGAGCACCAATTAAGTTTGTTCCATTATCTGAATATATATCACTGGGCGTACCTCTACGGGCAATAAAACGTCTTAGGGCATTCACACACGAACTAGTGTCTAAGGAATTAGAAACTTCTATATGCGTGGCACAAGATATCATACATGTAAATACAACACCGTATCGCTTACGGATAGAACGTCCTGTTTTGATTTCAAAAGGACCAAAATAATCAATTCCTACTATACTAAAAGCAGGTAAATCAGGTTTAAGTCGAAAATATGGAATGTCACTCATTTTCTGTTCACTAACTCTAGACTGATATTTTCTACAAATCACACATTTACTTAAAATAGACTTAACTAATACACCACATTTAACTATCCAATATTTTTTTCTAATATTACTAATAGTATGATTTCTACCCATATGGGCTACATTAACATGACAATATTTAGCAATGAGATTTGAAACATGACAACTTTTAGGCAGTATAATTTGATGCTTAAAATTAAAAGGCACGTTTGCATTGCGCAATCTTCCACCAACACGCAAGATTCCATCTTTAAGAAATGGATCCAAACTTGAAATTTCACTTTTGTTTTTGACGTTTTTCACATTATTGGGATTTTCACCGTATTCACTAAGACACTTTATTTCATCAGAATATACTTGATTTTGAACAAACTTAATGATTTCCACTTCAGCACTATTAATTTCCTCAACAGATAATGACTTAGTACACAAACTATCAGGAATTAAACATTTTTGAGCTTTATACTTTAAAATTTGCTTTAATCTTAACCACCATGATATCGCACGCTTTAATCGATAAAAATCAGAGTACTTATCTATCAATGTATTTACTGCATTCACAGAATCATTGGTTCTCACAAAATTAGTAGGTACTTGTATATCTTCATCATTATTCAATGGAACTATGTTCTCCGGCCAATCATTAATTGATAATTTCAGAAATTCTGGTCCACATAACCACATGGAGTTATTTGCGATATTCTCCACACACGATCCACGAGATGCTAGGTCAGCTGGATTTAGCTTTCCAGGCACAAAACGCCACTGATTCACGTTAGAACCGTCATGAATTACTGCAAGTCTGTTTGCGACAAAAACTTGGTGACGTGCTTTTACATCATGTATGTACTTTAAAACTGTTTGGCTGTCGGACCAAAAATACACTTGATTAATAGGAATCGACAATTCACGTGATAACATGTTATGAATTCTCACAATCGATGTAGCTGCTGCGAGCTCTAATTTAACTATGGTGTGGGGCTTTATGGGTGCTACACAAGAACGCCCAAGTAAAAATGAAATGTGTATCTCATTTTTATCACTTTGAAATCTTAAATAAGTAACTGAACCATAACCCTCTTGCGATGCATCACTAAAATGATGTATTTGAGTGTTCACAATCTTTCCAAAGTTCTGGGGTTTCACACATCTCTGAATTGACAAATTATGTAAATTCGCAAGATCAGTAAGCCAGTTATTCCATTCTCTTTGTCGATCAACTGGGATCATTTCATCCCACGATAACTTATCTCGACATAAATGCTGGAGGAATATTTTACATTTTAGCACAAACGGAGATGCTAATCCGAAGGGATCATAAATGGAACTGAACACGGATAGTATATTACGTCGCGTTGCGGTTCTGTTAACTTCACCAATGTTAAACTCAATTAAATCTAATTCAATGTTCCACTGGACACCTAAGGCTCGTTGCACGGGTAAAGAATCTGAAGAAATGTCAAGATCCATCACTTGTTCAGCTAAATCATTTTCGGGAATAGTAGACAATACATTTCTGCTATTGCTCACCCACTTGGTAAGGCGAAATCCACCTTTGGATAAGAGATCAGATATTTCACGAATCAGTTTTACACATTCCGTTTCTGTAGTCATAGACTTTAAAAAATCGTCTACGTAAAAATCATAATTTACAGCATTGATTATTTCATGGGAATAATCGTTGGTATTATCCAAAGCCGTTTGCTTCAGAGCAAAGTTTGCACAGCTAGGTGAGCTAACTGCACCAAAAATATGCACTTGCATTCTATATTCAGTAAGATGTCCATTAATGTCACCGTTGGGCCACCATAAATAGCGAAGCATGTCACAGTCTCTCTTCACAACTCTGACCTGATAGAACATTTGTTCTACATCAGCCATAACCGCGATATAATCTTGTCTCCATCGCAATAATACACCTAGCAATAAGTTAGTCAAATCTGGCCCTTGTAAAAGTTGCTCATTTAGTGAGGTCTGTTGAAAGATAAGCGGGCAATTAAAGACTACACGCAGTTTATCTGGCTTTTTAAGGTGTATCACGTGATGATACGGTACATACCACACACGGCCATCACTCCTATCAATTTCACTTGGTGGGACAATTTCAGAGTATTTCTTGGATTCTAAATTGTTCATGAATTTGCAATACTGTTCATTTAAAGAATGGTCTTTCACGAGTTTATTTTTAAGTCTGTAGGCAAATGCTTCAGCCTGAAGTTTGTTATTAGGCATAATAACTGATCTGTCACGAAACGGTAATTCAGTCTGATAATGACTGTCTTTTAATTCAATAGAGTTAGTTAAAATGCTCAAAAACTGTTTGTCTTCAATAGACAATGAGTGCTTGTCTTCACAAAGCTTTTCACTAAATTCTAAATTAAAATATTTCTTTACTTGTTGCTCGAGACTATCATCAATCCGGCATAAATTAATACTAATTGAAGCAGAAGAATTTTGTAGTTTACCCGGTAAACCATATAACAACCATCCTAATGGTGATTTAATCCCATAAGGCTCACCAATGTTACCAGTGCACACTTCTAATGGCGTTGTAGCAGCAGGCATGTTCACACCTATCATTAGACTAACTTTTGGAATAAAATTAGGAAATTCACAAATATTTGATACATTAATGTGACTTAAATGTTTCCAAGCATATAAATCATCTTTTCTGGGTACATCACACATGTCAACAGGCATATCATTCTTCACATAAGTAGGAGGTAAATCTAAAAACTGATCACCATCGAGACTGCTTATTTGTAAATTATCAAGAATTTCAGTTTTAAGAGTTTCTATAGAATTTAATGTTTTGAGAGTAACACACGTGGATCGTCCACTGACTTTTAAACGATGAGCAAGATCAGAATTTATGAAACTAGCAGCTGAGCCATTGTCAACAAATGCATATGTTGCTACATAGTCATCACTGTTTTTATGCTTAATAAGTATAGGCAAAATGGCCATCAAGGGGTTGGTATTGCCTAGTACACAGCCAGAAGATACCTTACTTTCATGTTCTGATTTCGGTACAAATGATTTAGAGTTATAGGATTTTGATTCACCAGATATCAACGTACTTACTTGTTTGTCACGAGAAATATCATCTCTAGTAGGGTCATGCATTATAGTTGTATGCTTTCTGATGCATTTATCACACTTAGCCCACTGGGGATTTGGGCAGTCACTTTTCATATGTTTAGGGTTCAAACATGCAAAACAAAGTCCCCTTTTTTTAACTTCTAACGATTTGTCATTGTTATTCAAATTACTAAATTTACGACATGAGAACAGAGAATGCATACCCGAGCAATATAAACAGGGAGGTTGCGCTGCTAAATTAACTTTATTGACTTGAGTCGAAAATATTTTACGCGACTGATGCGTAATCTTGTTACTAGCAACATGAGGGAAAGTTGATGTGGGTGTACGTAATTGATAACCCAAACCGCTCACTCTGGGGTCGTTTTCATTTCTTGAAATCTTACTGACAAAGTTCTCTAAATCTTCCAACACTGGAGCTCTGTTACCATTTTCCCTTAAATCTCCTACACGACCAATCCACTGCTGTTGCAATGAAACTGGTAACTTAGATGCTAAAAGTTTTAAGAATTCACTGCTGTCCATGGACGACATGTCTGAATTAGAATGTTTTATGTTACAACAGTTATTTAAGAAAAGGGAATACTTTCGAAGTCCACTTTTGTCACCTATAAGTATTTTTGGCCACGTTTCTGCCTTACTTCGAAAGGCAGCTGCCAAAATAAAAGGGTTTCCATAATCACGGTTCAATAAGTTTTTGGCTTTAATATATGCTGCTGATGCAGGCACTATCATTGGACATTGCTTTATCAACTCGTAGGCATCGCCCTGTGTATATCTTATTAACAGTTCAAGTCTACGACTTGGGTCTACAGTATTGTTCTCTACCACATATTTAAAGTTTTTCATGAATATTGGAAAGTCCAATATATTTGAACCATTAAATGGTTTCAGTTCTTGGGCTGGTAACGCTTGTTCCCTTTGACTGTCTATTAATTTGGATAAAATAGTAGAAATTTCTGGCTCAGATTTCGTCATACTATGATTGATGGTTTCTGTATCTCGATTCACATCCACATGTTCTTTTTCACTAATGTTTATAGGACTGTTTACACGATTGTTAATGTTCACTATAGGGGGTTGTACAATCATGGGTTCATGAATGTTCAAAGAATTGTTACTGTACACAGCAGGTGTCACAGGATCACGCATGCTTACAGCATTCACAGCAGGTGTCACAGGATCACATATGTTCACTGCATTGTTCACAGGGCCAGTGTTATTCAAAGGTTGCACAGGCCTTTTAAAGGAAATTTCAGAATCTACCTGAACATACATTCTATTAACTTCTGCAGCACTTGATAATTTAGATCTCAATAACAATTCTTCTTCTTTTCTGTTAATTTCTGTTAATCTTGCCTTTAATTCATGTTCTCTACGCAGCCGTTCTGCTTTTTCAGATGCTAGTCGAATCTCTTCTTCCACTTTTTCAAATTCTAAACGGCTCTCTAATTCTTTTCTTTCATCTTCAAATTTATTTCTTTCTGTTAAAGTCATCAGTTGATTCTTTAATTCAATTTCTTTTTGAATAGCTTGATATTTCAACTTTGAAAGTGTAGTGGAGGCAGTTTTTCTTGAAGGTACGTTAGAGATACTATCTATTGGTCTGATATCATCGTCAGGAAGAACATTCCTAGGATTATCCACACCCTCACGACTGGGAAGTTCACCTGAACGTCTGCCTCCGGCCCCACTAGGAACCGTTCCATCACCTGGCACAAAGGCGTCTCCAGTCCCACCTGGGCCTCCCAACTCATTGTGAACCCGAAAGCCCACTGGCACAATCCCGGGGTCAACACTGTTCACACTGTTGTCTGCACTTCTGCACATCAAACTGCGTGATGTTCTTCTTAATTGGTTTCTAAACCTTGGCGGTAAGGATGCCATTTCACAAATTACAAACAAGCACAAAAATAATACACTAAAATTTATCTTCATCACACCATAAAGTTATATACTGTTTTCACTTTAAATTTACATTATTGTCTGGTATTGTCAATGTCCTGACGGTTTTTTACTAACAATGTGAGGGTCCGTCGTTACACGTTTCTTTCACGGCGTTTATGACGATACCGTTCGTACGCCAGACACTGTGTATAGTTAGCGGGTCACTTCAGGGGTCAAAGGTCAGTATGATAATACTGAATTGCAGCCTTAAAATAACTTGAACAAAACAACAGAGTTCTGTGTTGATTGAACGAATTAACGGTTTAATAATAAATCAGATTAATGTTAATGATATAAGTTAAAAAAGACAAAAGTTACATTCACACTTCACATATTCTGTTTTGACAGTTCTCAGTTCATGATATCACTTCACAGCTGACTCGGCAATTGAGTCGAATTTCACATAGAGTTCACAAGAATAAACAACGTTCACTGTTCACAATAGGTAGATAAAAAGTTCACTAACACATTACACTAAATTACATACAGTGTCTCGGTAAAAAACCGATATCACGACCGCCGTTTGAGAAGACGGCCTCACACGTATTGACATTCACATTCACGCCATTTTCACTGTGTTTCTAAGCACGCTTTTTCTATACCATAATAATTTAAAGTAGACACAATCATACCAGTTGCATAAATACTTCAATACTACTAAAGAAGACTCTTTTATCCAGAAAAACTATGGTGGACCGTTTTGAACATTACAACTGTGTTAGTTCTTTTATATATTATAAAGTCAGGTGTAGATTGTTTTAGATGTAGGAATAATTTGAAAAAATAAAGATAGACCCGTTCTAAAAGCTCGAAATTTTCAAAAACCCACACTTCACTACCATAAAGAAGTACTGGTAATACAACTTTATCGAATAACTCTGACACTCAATTGATAGATTATTATGTCTGCATTTTCTTAATACTGCATTCATCGCTTTATCGAATAACTCTGACACTCAATTGATAGACTACATGTATTATGCCTGCATTTTCTTAATACTGCATACGTCGCTTTTGTACCTTGTTCATACATATAGTTTCTGGTAGTTAGAAATGATCCACATCAATACAACACGTACCAATTATATTGATCATGTCAATCACACTTACGAATACCAGAACTCAACAATCAAAATGACCGAAACTATACACAACAATCACTCTGATGAATACCAGACACAGCAATCACAACTATT